CCTTGCCATGAGCTGCTGTTGTTGTTTAGAGAAATCCTTGCTGCAGCACCTTTGGTTTCAGTGTTCTGTCCTTGGAATGAGCCAGTCTTTGTGTGAGGGTGTCGTCAGGTTGGAAATTCACTGGTGAATTGTTTGAGGAAAGTTTCTCTGAAACTCCTGCCTCCTGGGAAATGAGATCTGAAATGAGATTCCTCTGACTAGAAATGCTGCTGAGGATTGGCCTCCATGTGCTTAAAACTAGCAGCTCCAGGTTGCTCAACTTCACTCACTCCAGAATTGACAAAGATGCCTGAATAGGTGTCAAGAAGAATGCAAACACACAGCCTTTGTATAAAGCCTGGTGCAGTTGCCATGACTAGGATGACTGAGAATCTTCATAGACAGGATATGTTAATAACAACCACCCAGAGTAGCCATAATATGTCAAACTCATCTGCTATGGCTGCTCCCTTTAGGTTTAGGTAACAGCAGATTATCTGCCACAGTCTCACATTTTCTTTAACATCCTCATGCTTCCCTCTACAACTATCGGGCTGGTTATACTCCTGCAGCAGTGTGTCGCAGTGACTTGTCACAGGTATCACTCAGATATTTTTGATTTATGCCGAATATTGAAGTGTGTTCTGTGCTGTTATTCCACGCCACAACGCAAGAGGGACAATCACAAACTAGCTAGGGTTGTGGGTGTGGTGGGTGCCGTGTTTCTCTTCCAGTTACAGAGGTTATTCAGCAACAATGGTGACTGGACCAATGCTTACAGATGTTGGTACTTCCTCAACTCTTCTAGCTGGTCCATCTTCACTAGTCCTTTTCTACAATGGTGGTCATACAACCAAACAAGGTACAGGAAATATGCATAGTGTAGAGCGGATGTAGATTTGACCAGTCAGAGGCCTCCTTTCTCTACTCCCTTGCGACGCTGTCTGCGGCACTGTCTGCGACTGTCACCTACAATTTTGGGGAGGTGCACCAGAATGTCTGCGGAAGGGAGGGGGGCATGTCTGTGGTAACTGTGACACACATGCCGATGATTTGGTTTCTGAGCATAAACCAGGCTTATGGCTTCATTACATCCAGGAAGCCTCTATGTCTTTATCTCACCTCAGCATGTATCCACATCATCTCATCATCTACAAACCAGTCTGCAGACTCCTAACCCTGATAGGTTGCTACATGCTCAGACTGGGAACGATTTTCGGCCCTGGCATTTTTCAATTTACACCGGCCCACTTTTGCACCCCCCGGAAAAAAAAAAATAGAAGGACAGTCAAACATGTGTGTCTCAAATGTGAAATACAATACGAATACACATTGCGGATTAATCAATCTATCTTTTAAGCATCACACCACAACCATCACCAAGACTTCTATAACGCAGTTTCACTGGCTTTAGTTATTAACAAGGACGCGACAGTGACTGCTGCTGCGTAACGTCCACACATAGCCAGCCACACACCCACTCACACATACTAGGTCTAACACGTAAGCCCAAACGTTGTAAGAAAACCCCTTCATGCACCGCAACATATTTTTGCAAAATATTCAAACATAAATTCGCCAAATATAAGAGGAACATCGTAGTTTGATTTAAAGAAAGCATTTTAGTTTTATTACTATTTAGTTTGTTGCAAGGATTTTACAGTTTGAAGAAATAGATCATTACACTATATGCCAAGCATCACAAGGATGTGCATGACAAGGAAGGCCTATATAAACCGCATGCATCATTTAGGTAGTTAACATTGTATTACTTCTTGAGCTCCTTGAGTTATTTACTGTCACAGGTAGGTGCTTCAGTGGGAGAGCAAGTGTTGGGGCTGGTATGATTTAACATGCTGAAATTAGGACCGGCCCACTGGGAAAATGCCAGTTTTCCCAGATTACCGGTCCGAGCCTGGGTTGCTATGATGTTGCTTAGCTCGGCCACCTCATTTCCTTTTTCAGTCCCCCTATGCACCAGAGGGAGGTGTAGCCCACCTTTCTCACTTTGTAATGCATCTTTTTTTTTTTTTTTCCAGTAGCAGATTTTTGTGCAATTATCTCTACTTTCTACTCCTTACATTTTAAAAACAGACTTATTAGTTTTGTTTAATTTTAGCTCATATTCGTTATGACCTGTTGGTATCTAAAAAAAAATGAAAAACCATCAAAATCATTTGTTTTATCTAGATAATTACTTTATTTGTGCTGTACCAACTTGTTGTCGTTTTTCAAGATGATGCAAATTTAAATTTGACGGTGTTGCCATTAGTTACTATATAAAGCTAAGAAAATTAAGCATAAAGAAATTATCATCTTGAGGTGTAGAAAATTTTTACTTTAAAAAGCTAGTGCAGTAAAGTATAGGTCCTGAACACTTTTCCTGCATTTATTTTAGACTTAAAGTAGTTTTAAAAAATGCTGCTTATACACTTTTACTTGAGTAAAAAGCTTAAGTTGATTCTCTAACTTCTACAAAAGTGTTATAAACAGTAGAATTTCTACTTCTACCTGAGTAGAAAAAATTAATACTTTTGACACCTCTACTGATTTTATATGTGTCCTGGCACACCCTCCAAGATGTCACACCCAACCGAGCAACACTGTCAGAAAAAAAAGGAGGAAGTTATATATCAGCTGCAGCTGCAGCAGGTTTGCATATCTAATCCGTATGCAAAGCCTTTGGGGAATGATTTGCACTTGTGCCCCTTGTGGCTATTGATGTTAAATTTGTGCATAAATTAATAAATAGAGATTTTTTTTCACTGTTAAAAATCACCCACAAGACTTGGCTCCATCTTCTCCTCCCTCCCTTCTTCATTGCGCATCTGGACAGCAGGCCTCATGTACTTAAATTCATCCACTTTCAGAGTCTTTGCTCAGTTCAGTCACAGTTCCAAGCATCTCCTTTTCATTTACAAACATTGATTCATTTTCAAAGCTAATGACTCCCAATTCCTCCTATATCAAGACATTTACTGCACAAAATAGTTTTTATTAATATGCATCACAAATATATATGATCCAAAATATGTTGCTTTAATAGTCACACAGCCTTTAGTGTAAATATGTTTAGACTCCTCTAGAAATATACCACAGATGCAAAGTTGAAGCAGTAAAGGTTTTCCAGCAGAATCTACATGATCTATTGATACATTTCTGATACCGGAATTGTTCAAAGTTTTACAGACATTTACATCATTTCCTCAACCTCTAAAAGGAAGCTGTTTCATGATAGACTTTAAAATAGAAAACAGGCCTAATGGTTTTGTAATTTCAAGTAAAATGATAACACTGCGGAAAGACCAATGATGTCAAGATAATCTGATTGAACATTGCACATCAATTCACGAGGGACACTTTCTAAATGTCGTATTTCAGATAAGATGTCATAAGGGAGTTCCCTAAAATCATTAGTTTATTTCAGAGAAAAAAAAAACATCCATGTTAAAGATTCCAAGGTTCATTGAATGACAACAGTTTGACCTTTAAAAAGCACACAAAGAGTCCATGTTTTTATATCAACGCAATTTCCTTTCATTCCTAATATAACCTGAATGTTTCAACAGCTACTGATCAGATCACTACTGTTAATCACCAAACTTTAAGGCACACAACCCTCTTACAAAGAAGGAGATGAAGGACGGGGAAGAGAGATCTTCCTGTACGTCTAAGGAAGGACAGGAAGGACTGTGGGTTTCTGCTGTAGATGGAGAGGGAATAAGAGAAGCTGTAACTCTCAGCTAACCACAGCAGTCCATATATTGGTTAAACCAGATTTAAAGTAGATAAATAATTTAAGCTATATGCTGAGAAATCCCAGAAAAAGAATTGTTTCCAATACATTAATAAAAGTCCTGAACAAACATGGCATCAATACCGAACCTTTGAATGGTGCAACATTTTCTATGTGAAATGCTGTAGAAGACATTTATGCTCTTATATTATTGTTTTACCCCATTATTTAGTCTTATTTCTAATTATTTAACTGATCTTTATTTAGATAAGTGGTTTTAATTTGAGGAATATCTTGAATTGTTCATATATATTGCAAAAGGTCAAATAAACAACTTATGGAAATCTTGACATCTGAAGAAATCCTTTATCTTTCCTGAACCATCACGAGTAATTTCTAAGAAACAACTTGAAAAGATCTCGACAGAATGACAATATGGAGCCGCCTGAGGGGCAGAATAACCCATCATATTCAATCAAATCTATCATTTGAATTCAAGCTTCACTAATCATCTCTGTACGACCAAATTTAAAGGACATGAGTAAAACCTGAGGGTTACTGTCTGCAATTAAAAAATGGAGATTTTCATTCTTTTTACACCATTTCATTTTAGAAATATAAGTAAAAGTACCAGTTTACAGATGTCTCATATCTGGTATGTTGAAAGGTATTAAAAAAAAATACAAATGTACATGTATTGTGTTTCAAAAAGGGACAAGTTGTTCCTTTTTGACCAAAAGCTCAAGTCTAAAGCTGAACTCAACGCTAGAGGAGAACATCAGAGATCAACAAGCCATTCAGGGAATAATAATTAGTCACACAGAGGAAAGGGAGAACAATTAAGAGTCAACAGGAGCTGATTTAATAGCTTAGACTCATAATTTATTAATTGTCTGCAGTCAATAACCTCGGAACTGGGTGGCAGCAGGAAAGTGAGCTGCCCGGCTGAAATGCAAGGCTGCCAACTTTGCCAGCTTTCAGAAGCAGTTTGAGGTTGGCAACAAGTTTTTGAAGGCAACCATCAGATAAGGTTACAAGGAAGAGGAGATCAAAAGTTGGAGCAAGTTTTATCACTTCATCTAAGGCCGATAGATAGATAGATAGATAGATAGATAGATAGATAGATAGATAGATAGATAGATAGATAGATAGATAGATAGATAGATAGATAGATAGATAGATAGATAGATAGATAGATAGATAGATAGATAGATAGATAGATAGATAGATAGATAGATAGATAGATAGATAGATAGATAGATAGATAGATATGTAATTAACTTACTTTCTGCAGATCCTTGAAATCAGCATTACTTCCAAATTAAGGCGTCTGAGGAGGGAAAGCTGTATAATGTGAGTGAGGCTGCAGAAGGAAGCCGGCAGTGAGCGCAGCGCAGAGCGCAGAGGTTCCAGCACCTCACTCAGACTCTGAGAGGAGGAGTTTGTTTTTATTTTCTGATCTGCCTCCCTCTCTCTCTCTCTGCTCCATGCGCCTGCGATCCGCGATCCTGTGACTCTAAATTGTTTTATATTTGGAATATTCGTGGATCTATAAGACATTTTTTTAAATATTATTATTAGTTATTATTTTTTTCTTGCAAAAATCTACTGACTAAGTTGGAATTTAACCGATTCCAATTTACCAATCTCTTTTTACGGTGGAAGTGTAAAACAATGTCACATTATCTGAGACACTTTTACAACTTTGATTAAAAAAAATTTTAAAAGAAGAAACACTTTTACTTTTGAAAAAAAAAAAACACGTTTACATGTTTGACAAAAACATGTAAAACAAAACAAACTATAGTTTAACTGACCTGGCCGATGTGTCTACCTTGCAGATGTGGCAAATTTGTCCAGGTGTCATAACAACCTTCACCACAAGATGGTGCTGTTGTATTCAATAGTTCCTTGGAAATGTTCCAAAGACTTACTTAGTCTTAGATTTATCTTGTCATTTTGTATACACGAGTGTAAACAAAAAGAAATTTAGTTTAAAAAATTTTATTTTTTAAAGTTTAGCCTTGAAAACATTAATAAATACATAAAAAATTGTAACAATAAATAATAAACATATGACTGTTTATTTACAGTTCTAACATTATTATTATTATTATTATTATTATTATTATTTTAAATAAAATAACCAATTTTACACAACTTTCAGCTGTCTAAAGGCAGTGGGAAAGAAACAGTTGTGGAATCTGCATCTGATGCTTCGAAGCCTCTTCCCAGAGGGCATCAGGGAGAACAGTCCATGGTGGGGGGTCATTTATTATGTTATGGGCTCGGAACACGCAGCTCTGGGATGAAATGTCTTTTATGGAGGGAAGAGGAGCCCTGATTATCTTCTCTGCTGTTCTTACCACTCTCCTCACCTTCTTCCAGTCTGAGGCGCTGCAGCCTCCACACCACACAGTGAAACAGCCGGTCAGAACCCTCTCTATGGTGCGTCTGTAGAAGGTGGTGAGGATGGGTGGGGGCAGGTGGGCTCTCCTCATCCTCCGCAAGAAGTACAGGCACTTTTGTGCCCTTTTGACCAGTGAGGTGGTGTTTACATTCCAGGTAAGGGTGTCTGTGATGTGAACCCCCAGGAATTTGGTGCTGTTGACCGCCTCTACAGCTGAGCAGTTGATGAGCAGTGGATTGTGGTTAGGCCGATTCTTCCTGAAGTCCAAGATGATCTCCTTCGTCTTCTCCACGTTCAGGATCAGGCTGTTATCTTTGCACCAGTCCACCAGTTCGTTGTTGTCTCTGATGAGTCTCACCACAGTCATGCAGTCATGTGTCAACAGGATTAACATTAGGGGGCTCAGGACGCAGCCCTGAGGGGAGCGTGTGCTTAGACTGATGACATCAGACATGTCCTGTCCGACTCGGATCAACCAAAGCAACCCTTGGTGATATAAACAGATACACTATATTGCCAAAAGTATTTGCTCACCTGCCTTGACTCACATATGAGCTTAAGTGACATCCCGTTCCTAATCCATAGGGTTCAATATGACGTCGGTCCACCCTTTGCAGCTAGAACAGCTTCAACTCTTCTGGGAAGGCTGTCCACAAGGTTTAGGAGTGTGTTTATGGGAATTTTTGACCATTCTTCCAGAAGCGCATTTGTGAGGTCGCACACTGATGTTGGACGAGAAGGCCTGGCTCTCAGTCTCCGCTCTAATTCATCCCAAAGGTGTTCTATCGGGTTGAGGTCAGGACTCTGTGCAGGCCAGTCAAGTTCATCCACACCAGACTCTGTCATCCATGTCTTTATGGACCTTGCTTTGTGCACTGGTGCACAGTCATGTTGGAAGAGGAAGGGGCCAGCTCCAAACTGTTCCCACAAAGTTGGGAGCATGGAATTGTCCAAAATGTCTTGGTATGCTGAAGCATTCAGAGTTCCTTTCACTGGAACTAAGGGGCCAAGCCCAGCTCCTGAAAAACAACCCCACACCATAATCCCCCCTCCACCAAACTTTACACTTGGCACAATGCAGTCAGACAAGTACCGTTCTCCTGGCAACCGCCAAACCCAGACCCGTCCATCAGATTGCCAGATGGAGAAGCGCGATTCGTCACTCCAGAGAACGCGTCTCCACTGCTCTAGAGTCCAGTGGCGGCGTGCTTTACACCACCGCATCCGACGCTTTGCACTGCACTTGGTGATGTATGGCTTGGATGCAGCTGCTCGACCATGGAAACCCATTCCATGAAGCTCTCTGCGCACTGTTCTTGAGCTAATCTGAAGGCCACATGAAGTTTGGAGGTCTGTAGTGATTGACTCTGCAGAAAGTTGGCGACCTCTTCGCACTATGCGCGTCAGCATCCGCTGACCCCGCTCCGTCAGTTTACGTGGCCTACCACTTCGTGGCTGAGTTGCTGTCGTTCCCAAACACTTCCATTTTCTTATAATACAGCTGACAGTTGACTGTGGAATATTTAGGAGCGAGGAAATTTCACGACTGGATTTGTTGCACAGGTGGCATCCTATCACAGTTCCACGCTGGAATTCACTGAGCTCCTGAGAGCGACCCATTCTTTCACAAATGTTTGTAAAAACAGTCTGCATGCCTAGGTGCTTGAATTTATACACCTGTGGCCATGGAAGTGATTGGAACACCTGATTCCAATAATTTGGATGGGTGAGCAAATACTTTTGGCAATATAGTGTATATGCTATGTCTTGTTGTAAAAATGTCTGTTAGCATCTACTAAAGTCAGCAGAAGTGAAACGACAGCAGTGTGTTGATCAGAGGTGGGCAATTCCAGTTCCTGGGGGCCGGTATCATGCAACTTTTTGATCCATCCTTGGTCCATCACACCTGAATCAGATGGTTGAGTTACCTCCTCAGTAGGCAGTCAGTTCCTCCAGGGTCCTCTCAATCATCTAATGACATGATTCAGGTGCTTTGAACCAAAGGCACATCTAAAAGTGGCAGGATATCGGCCCTCAGGAACTGGAATCGCCCACCCCTGGTGTTGATGGATAGTTTACTGGTAAAGTTAATGTATTATAATATGTAAACATTTCTGGAATTCCCACCTTAATCTAACCAGCTTCCCTGATGGAAAAAAATACCATTAATCCAATGGAAGCAGGTTTTTTTTTTCTCTAATCATTGAATAAATTAATCAATTTCAAGATCAGAAAGGCACTAAAATGGTGAATTTTTAAATGCAAGGCAGAAAAAAAGAACTCACTTTTAAAATACGTGTTTACTGTAGCAAGCAGTATTTCACTGGTTTGTTTTAACAGCATCCCTTTTTTGGAAGAATCGGTGCCGCCTGTTTAAGTACTTAACATAAACAGGCAGCGCCAGGGCAAGTAAAGCTCCACATACCTCTGAAGGGAAAGTTTTCACTGTAAATGTTCATTGAATATTTCACAGAGTCTTGAGATCATGCAGTAAGGGCAGCGGATATTTTTGTAAATCTCACTGCAGTATGACAATTTTTGAGTGACTTTAATTTTAAATTACAGAGTAAAAAGACCAATTAACGAATAATTTAAACAAAACAACGGTTACATTTCAGGACATATTAGATTGAACAGGAGATTTGATGTATGTAAAGAGAATCCCCCCAGTTTCTTTTTTCATTTTGAACTGGTCATTCTCCTATTAAACATGTTAAAATAAAATAAAAATTGCAACACAAATCCATTTATATGTCCATGTAAAGAGAAAAAATATAAAAAGCGGTAGGAGAATGAAAATTATTAAAATTTCATTGTGTGACAGCTACAAAAGTTCAATGCAAGTATGCCCAACTGGCCAGTTAGGGCATATTCCTCTACCTGATCATCAAGGAGGAACACAGTTCAGGATGCAGCAACATCTGATCTGAATATGGACATCCTTCCTATCTACCCCAGTTAAAACTTGTTTCGTTATCTCTTAATCACATCTATTGTCAGCCAGGTCATTATTCTTAGCCTATAAATAAAGGCCTGTTTAAAATTCTTGTTTGCTGCGTTATTAGTGACGATAAACGCCACTCAGACATTGTGTTCTCCACCTTCTCTGTTCCTGTTGTCCCTGCCTGTTTCTGGTTTGGCCCAGTCTGAAATTACGTTCTTCCTCCTAACCTGCACTGAACCCTGCCGTGTTTTAACATCAGCCGAAGCACATTAACATCACCGGTCTCGTTGGATGATACGTAACAGCTAGATCAATGACAGACCGGATCAGCAAGAGTGCAAGCTGATAAGGCTATTAAGTCCCTTTTTCTGTTTCCAGTAACCTAAGGTTCTCCATATCAAACATCACTAATGGTTTAATCGAAGCGGCCGCAGTGTATTCTCAGGCAATGCAGGTTGAATATTAAGTGCTCTCTGCCAAGTCTAATGTGATTTTGTGGTTTTATTATCCAATGGTCTCACATGAGCGTGCATCACACCCATCAGGCCAGAACAAGTCTGTTGAGACAGATGGAGTCTCCTAAACACTGGAATGGATCCAAACCAGTGGGAAAGGCTAATAAAGTGAATATCATGCAGAGATGAAAGATCAAGCTGGACTTCATCACTGGTCCTCACACAGAGTTATAATGACTTTTTCATGACAAGCCCATGAATTTAATCAGAGGTAAGAGGGTCGGGGACAACACTCTATTGTATAGCCTGATAGTGATGTATGGCTGTGCAGGCATGAGTTTGGTATTTCAGAAATTTAACCCTATATTCTTGAGCATACAGTTGTCAGTTTGTTTGTCTCTCAGCTGAATATTTGGTTCAAATCTTTTGGGCATTTCCATACTAACATGGATATTTTTCTAAACTAAAGCATAGTTTATGATTCAGTGCAATTTCCTTTATTTCTGCTCAATTTCCCTCAACTGCTCCTGGATTTACTAAGCAGATTTTACCAATTACCTTAGGAAATATAATGCCCTTTAAGTCTGTACTC